AGTCCTTTGTCTGAAGCAATCAGAAGGTCATTTGTAATTTTAACTAGTGCTGTCTCAGTGCTATGATGCACTCTAAATCCTGACTGAAATTCCTCAGATAAATTATTATCATGGAGAAAATCACACAGCTGGTCTGCGACTACTTTCTCAAGGATCTTTGACATAAAGGGAAGATTAGATATTGGTCTATAGTTGGCTAACACATCTGGGGCCGGTTGCACCAACTGGTCTTTACTACGCCTGGTCGTAACTCCTAAGACGGTCTTTGTTAAGACCAGTCTTAAGGAGTGGACTTACGCCAGTTGCACCAACAGGGCTTACGCCTGGTCTTAGCTACGCTGGTTTTAGCTGTGCGCGTCCATGTGAATGCCCCACGCGGCCTGCCTAGAGGAGCGCGGTGACGTTAAATGACACGCGGCTGAATCACTCCATGTGCTTGACAGATGTCAATTGACACTTGACAGCACCTCTCATCTGTGTTGACAGTTTATTTACAGTTTAAGATTTGAAGAAAACATTAAGGATCAACGAAAAACTTTACCGACACTGAAATTAGAAAATTAATCAAGCTGTACAGCCAGCACAGAGACGTATCACAAATAAGAAAAAACAGTCAGTATGGGCAGAGATAACGAGGCACATCAATACGTGTTCAGACTCTGGCTGCCTTCATACAGAGGCTGACATGAGGAAGAAGTGGAAAGATCTCCTCAGCAAGGCAAAAAATATATCTTCTCCAAAAAAAATCATCCAACTGGCGGGGGTCCTCCCCGAAAACCTCAATTTACAGTGACATCATTGTTGACGTATCTGGGGAGGATTCCCCTGCCTGGTGGGAAGGCTGGTGGTAGTGCTGCGTTGCAGCCCAACACAAACTGTAAATCCGGTGACAGCTCTTCAATAAGTTCAAACTGATCTCTCCTACCGAAGTGAAAGCTCTCAATCAGCTCCTCGTCATTATATAGGCTATGTCCAATTGCTTCTGTCCCTAATTACCCTCTCCCGTCTAAATGCCCGCTCGTATACAGACGGTGGATGAGACGTGCCATAATCAAGTTGCGCTCTCTGGGCTCTAGAGCACATGAGAGCAGCTTGATAATGACCTTAGGCCTGCTCTTGACTAGGCGTAAGATTTACGCCCGGTCTTAGTGAGAAGAAGGCTTACGCCCTGTTGGTGCAACCGGCGTAACTATAAGGTCGGACCTAGAACGCCAAGTTACGACCGACTTAGCTTAAGACCAGGCTTAAGACCAGTTGGTGCAACCGGCCCCTGGATCCAGGGTGGGCTTTTTTAGTAGAGGTTTAATTACAGCTACGTTAAAAGACTGTGGTACATAGCCTGTTAATAAGGATATAT